CACCACCAGGAAGGCTACACCGGGGCCGTTGGCTGACAGGACACCATGCTGGACGTGTGATCCTGTGGTCCCGGGATTGATTCCCAGCGCCAGTGAGAAACAATGGGAAGTTTCTTTCACCCTGATGCTCCTGTTACCTAGCAGTAAATTGGTACCTGGAAGTTAGTCAGCTGTCACAGGAAGCTTCCTGGGTTGTGTGTGTGGTGTGAAAAAAAAAGTAGTTAGTAAACAGTTGATTGACAGTTGAGAGGCGGGCCGAAAGAGCAAAGCTCAACCCCAGCAAAACACAACTAGGTGAATACAACTAGGTGAATACAACTAGGTGAATACTGTGGGGGGGGGGTGGTACACCACCAGGAAGGCTACACTGGAGGGGGGGGGGGGAGGAGGAGAAAACGTACACCACCACGAAGGCTACACTGGTTAATCAATTCGCAACATCTTCAAGAATACACGTAACTTTCATGCTTTTACAGATTCCCCGATAAAACTAACTGCGTTAAGGGCGGCACAAACTTTTGCAATATGCTAATCAAGATGTTGCAATATGCTAATCAAGATGGTTGATACCCACGACCAGAGTATATCTGGTCTGACCCACTTATTTTGACAAGTAAATATATTAACCGACGAAATTGTCAGTAATGTAATGATCTTCAGATGAAAACGCTGTAAATCAATTCTCCCTTGATGGGTCATATCCTGCATAATCAGCCAGACGTAACCGGTGCCACATCCACCTTCCTAAAATAGACTAGTCATCCCTTGCACGTGTTTGGCAAATGCTCAAGTGACTGCACTAAGATTCAGGACATGTGTAGCTGTAACAGAGAAGAGAAGGTATACAGAGCACACACACCCCAATTACACAGGGCAGCATATAAACACACCTCCCTTAAGTGACACAGCATTTAAAAGCATCCAGAGATGATATTGTAATGAGGGCATCTCTTTGATGTTCTTGTTCTTGAGAACAGAAAGCCTGTGCCTTATCAACGTCCCTCCCCTCCCCTCCCCCTTCAGACAAGATACTGACCTTCCCTAGGATGCAACCCACAACAGTTGTATAACTCCCAGGCACCTATTTTACTGCTAGGTGAACAGGCACATCAGGTGAAAGGAAATGCATCCAACCACTACCATTCTGCCTAGGGACTGAACTTGGGTCCCTTGATTGTGTGCCCAGGATGTAGACCACTGTGCTACAGGACTTTTTCTGAATATATTAACCAGCTTGTATTACACAATTCACAAAGCTGAAAGGTAGGATTAGCTCTTAGCAAAATGTTGGAAAGAGAAACCAATATTCGTACCAAGTCAAGACGTCTGTTCAAACAGCGTACAGTTAATTTTACACAATCGTGCAAAAACTTTCACCACATTTTACCATATTACCACTGAAAATCTTAAAACAGGTCTAGTATAACCTTCAGCATCCTCTCACGACACTTCCATAAGCATATTTACGAGCACGATTTGTATTCCCGTCGTTACTTTTTACATATTGAACTTTATGAACATATTTTATAATTTCTGATCTATTTTATAATATGTAACTGTATTCACAATAAACCTTTTTAACACTTGACCTATAATGCATAACGCGTTCGTATATAAATATACTGTACTCAGTGTGCGAGAGGATGAACGCAGCGTCCAAAATTAAAATATGTTAAAGTTCCATTTATTGTTTGATTACTATGGGACTAGTTTTAAAATGCACGCCATTCAATTGTGAAGCATTTGATACCGAAATAAACTACATAGCAAGAAAATTGAGGTGGGAAGACTGGAAAGAGTATAAATATTTCAGTGCGGGTGGGTGTACACTCACGGGTAAAACTCTGCCTAACTTCGGGTGTGCTGAGGGTGGCATGCCGGGCCATTTGACGTTATATGCATATATCCCTTTAGAGCATTCTATTGCGGACAATCTGATACCAAAATGAACGACGTAGCATGAAAAATTGAGGTAAAAAACACTGAAAAGAGTATAAACATTTTAGAGTGGGTGTGCGCTCACGGGTAAGGCTGGGCTGATTTTTGGGTTTGATGCAGATGGTGTGCCGGGCCTTTAGGCCTTGTATGCATATATTCCTGTAGAGCATTCTATTGCAAACAATTTGATACTAAAATGAATGACGTATCACAAAAATTGAAGTGAGAAAACTGAAAAAGACTATAAACATTTTAGGGCAGGTGCGGCTCACAAGAAATGCTCTGTTGACCTTGGGGTGTGCTGGGTGTCATGCGGAGAGCCAGGCAAAATGTTAAGTAGCATGTCCTAACAACATACCATACTGGAAAATATCTCCAAAGAAAATTAACTGCCCAAATATCTTGCGAATCAAAAAATTTTCAGGGACGGCAAATACTTCAAAACGTAAGTTATGACCACACAGAAGATGCTAAATGCAATCTTAGGTGTGTGCTTCTTACTAAAGCCCACATCATCAAATGATGAAAAAATTGGAAATGCCAAATCATCATCTGGGAGTAAACTAATCATAAATATCGCATTTGGCAGATTAAGACGTACCTCTTCATAAGCACGGTGAATGGAAGCAAGGTGGTCTGCTCTTCATGACCAACTATTAAAGCATACATCTGATTTGCAGTGTGCAAGAACAGTATTTTCCTTCACAGTTGGGTTAGCAATTAATTTACCTTAGAATATGAATTTAATATACTTTTACAGATTCAAGTATTATATATAAAGAGTACAGTATTTATATGATAAAGGATCACATCCAAACCTCTTCCTTAAAAGCTGTGTTCATTTGTATTCGACAGATTCATATTTTTTGTCACTCGTGTATACAATATAACTTCTATCCCAAAGCCTCTTGAATCTACACTCATTTCCACTTGCCTTCTAAATCAAACTCCTAATGTAATTCTATACATACCACCACCTCCCTCCAATGTAATTCTATACATACCAACTTAAGCCAGTCACTTGGCCTTGTACCCTTCAAAGTACTTCTATAAGGTACATCTTCACTAGAGGTCTGCCATTTAGCCTGGTTCCATTCAAAGCACTTGCATTTTCTTTGCTCCCTCTTCAATTCTCTCCTTAATCCCTGCACTGCACAACAATTTCATGTGACACCTAATTCTGTCATGTGCATTAAAAACAAATTCAATTTTTCTTTAATTATCAGGTGAAAGTGCCAAGCCATTATGACTTTATAGCATTTGGAAGGGATCAGGTTAAGGATTTGGGATGGGACAGGGGGAAGGAATGCTGTCCAACCACTTGTACGGTCCGGGATTGAATGCCGACCTGCATGAAGTGAGACCGTCGCACTACCGTCCAGGCAAAGTGGCTGGGTAAAACAAATTATTTTTCTTTCTAATATTGTCACAAACAGTTTATTGCATGATCATGAAAACTAAACACATTTATATTAGCTAAGAGTAATTACCTAAGTGTAGTTACAGGATGAGAGCTATGCTCATGGTGTTCCACCTTCCCAGCACCGTCATATAATGCTTTGAAACTAAAGTAATGACGGTTTTGGCCTCCATCACCTTCTCAATTTGTTCCAACCCGTCTACCACTATGTTTGCAAAAGAAAACGTTCTAATATTTTTTTGGCACCTTTGTTTCCTTGGCTTGAATCTGTGTCCTCCTCCTCTTCAAGTTGCTAGTTTCAGGAATTCCTCTTTGTAAATTTTGTAGATTCCTGTCACTATTCTGAATGTAGTGATCGTATTGCTCATTTTCTTCTAACTTCTAGTTTTGGCATATTTAATACATCTAACCCCCTATTGCAGCTCTTGTCTTTCAGGTTCAAGAGCCATTTAGTTGCATGTCTTTGTAGCTTTTCCAGTTAGTTTATGTGCTTCTTAAGATATGGGCACCATACAACACTGCTTATTCCAGCTTAGGTCTCAAAGGTTGTGAACAATTTCTTTAGTATTTCACCATCCATACATTTGAAATAAATGCTGAAATTGGAAAGCGTAGCATAGGCTCCTTGCACCATGTTCTTGAAGTGGTCTTCAGGTGATACAAAACTATCTGGAACACCTAGAGCTCTTTATCAGATTTTTAAGATTTTTGACATAATTTGAAGGTTGTATGTGGTCTATTTTCTACTATTTCACATTCCATAACATGGCATTTATTCACATTAAATACCATTTGCCAAGTGGTGATTCATACACTTATTTTGTCCAGGTCTTCTTGAAGGGCATGACAATCGTCGAAGTTTCTTAACTTCCTTACACAAACACACACACCTGAATGTGTGTGTGTGTCTGTGTACTGTATCAATGTTATGCAAGAATTTTTTTTTTAAATATATACAAGAGTTCTTACATTCTTGTACAGCCACTAGTACGCGTAGCGTTTTGGGCAAGTTCTTAATCCTATGATCCCTGGAATACGACCCCCACGAAGAATCATTTTTACAACCAAGTACCCATTTTACTGTCGAGTTAAACAGAGGCTACAGTTAAGAATTTGCGCCCAATAAATCCTCCCCGGCCAGGATACAAACCCAGGACAAAGCGCTCGCAGAATGCCAGGCAAGCGTCTTACCACTACACCACAGAGACTGATGAATTATTGAAATAGAACATCAAGTGACATCATACTGAACACTAGCAGTGAAAGAACTGTGATAAAATACATTACAGACATTGTAAATGATGCGAAAAAGTGCAAAATTCGTTGCAACTCCCATCTACTGGTCTGCGTGACGCCTTGGAGACACTCAATGCACAAGCAAGCATGAATCATGACATCACAGTGAGATTTCTCTGCTTGTTTACAGCAATGATGAGTAACATTAAATTTGTTCTTATTTTTCACATAAATCAGGGAACACATTTTAACAATAAAGTATTACAATTTTTTGCAATTTTTGTCTTGCCCTTTGCAGGGGTTGTTGGCTATTAACAGGTGTGCAGCTCAAGGGTAGTAACACTGCATCCTATCTGCCAGAAAATATGGTAACTAACAAATTTAATAAAGATAAATCTATCCTTACCTTGTGAGCTTGGCTCCAATAGCTTCTCTAAACTCCTTTCTATCATTCTCAGACTGTACAGGAATGATGTTTCGATCAATGAGGTCTTGTTTGTTCGGTCGGCACTTTAGTTTTTGAGCGAGGCTGTCTCTTCTCGCAACTTTAGTAGCTAAACGATCTGCAAAAGTTTACAAAACAATAAATCAACAATTATATGAAGCATTCATACATACATAAATTTACTAAGTTGATACAATCATATGGAATATCATGTATGTATGTGTGTTTGTTTGTATGAAAATATGCCAAGGGAATTAAAATGAGAAATGCTTGAGACATTGTGTACACACAAAAGTTTCTTGTTTCAGTTCCTTTGTGGTTATACTTTTTACATCATTCATTACGTGTTAATTTTTTGTGTTTCAGCCTCTGTCACTCATTCATTCATTCTTCCCCTGCCATTCTCTCATACTCACCTCACTCACTCATACTCCAATTTGGAGTTTCAAGAACAACAGGTCATAGAGATTAAAACTAAACAAAGCTGCTGAAAAAATATAAGAAAATTCACTTTCACAAACAATTGTAGACGGTTGGCACAAGTTAGGCGAGAAGGTGGTGGAGGCCAAAATTGTCAGTAGTTTCAAAGCGTTATACAACAGAGTACTGGGAAGGCAGGACACCACGAGCTTAGCTTGCATCCTGTAACTACACTTGGGCAATTACACTTGGGCAATTACACTTTATGTAACTGGAACTTGACTGTACTTGGCTGTAGGTGTCAGGTGCTCTGTGGTTTCCCCCAGTGCTTTCACCTCGGGTGCTGCGAGAATGTGCAACCAAGCTGAACATTCCACTCCAATTAAAATTCCAGTCATCCCTGTGCACAGGAATCTTAGCAGATATATGAAAAAGGCAAACATAGTACCAATCTATAAAAATGGTAGTCGAGAGGAACCTCTAAATTCTAAATCCATATCATTAACAAGCGTGGTAGTTAAAACACAAGAAACAATAGTTAAAGCCAAATGGATTGAACACCTTGAGAGTAATGACATAATTAAGGACAAACAGTATGGTTTTCGAACAGAAAGATCCTGTATAACACATCTACAGTACTTTGTTTTTATGATTGAGCAAGAGATAATACAGGAAAGAGATGGTTGGGTTGACCGTCTATCTGGACCTAAAAAGAGGCTTTTAACAGTCAAAAACAAGATTGTTTTGGAAACTGGAACATGCTGAAGAGATGGAGACTTCTAACATGGATGAAAACCTTTCTTACTGACAGACAGATGACAGCAGTAATCAGAGACAATGTATTTGACTGGAAGTGTGTTACTAGTGGAGTACCACAGGGTTCAGTTTTTTGCACTAATAATGTTCATTGTCTACATAAACGATCTACCAAAAGAAAGAGAGAATTATAAGAACATGTTTGAGGATGATGCTAAGACATGGGGCATTAAATAAGCCAAAACTAGAAAATAGAAGAGAGGTGATATGATCCCCATTTGCAAAATAGTAACAAAAATTGACCACATTGACATAAGAGGAATTCCTGAAACCAGGAATTTCAAGGAACAAGAGGAAGACATTTCTACTAAGGAAACAAAGGTGCCAAAACAAATATTAGAAAGTTTTCTTTTGCAAACAGAGTGGTAGATGGCTGGAACAAGTTAAATGAGAAGGTGATCGAGGCCAAAACCATCTTTAGTTTCAAAGTGTTACAGTATAAGACAAAGAGCACTGGGAAGAAGGGGACACCACGAGCATACCTCTCATCCTGTAACTACACTTTACTAAATGTTTCTTCTTGTGGGATGAGATTTTCAGCAAACAAGCCATAATATCGACATTTAAATATACACTATATCAGAGCATACAGAAGTTAAAAGTTAAAAAGGAGAAGTTAAAAACAAACCAGCGTTGACTGTAATGAAATGCCAGTTTCTGGGTGAGCCCCGGAGGCTTCCTCAAGCTATCCAAACTGATGTGTGCTATATTAGTTGGGGGTCATCAGTCTTATGATGACCCCCAACTGATAGAACAAGAGTTCTATCAGTTCTTGTTCTGTGACATGCAAAGACATGCCACTAAGTGGCTCCCAGAACTGAAGGACAAGAGCTACGAGGAGAGTTTAGAGGCGTTAAATATGCCAAACTAGAAGAAAAAGAGGCGATATGATCACTACTGTACGTACAAAATAGTAACAGGACACTATAAAATTGATAGGGAAGAATTCCTAAGACCTGGAACATCAAGAACAAGAGGACATAGACTCAAGTCAAGGAAACAAAAGTGCCGCAAAAACATTGGACAATTTTCTTTTGCAAACAGAGTGGTAGACGGTTGGAACAAGCTAAATGAGGTGGTGGTGGAGGCCAAAACTGTCAGTTTCAAAGCATTATGTGACAGAGTGCTGGGAAGACGGAACACCACGAGTGTAGCTCTCATCCTGTAACTATACTTAGGTAATTACTTAGGCAATTAAAAGTAAATTGATGGTTGAGAGGCAGGACCAAAGAGCCAAAGCTCAACCCCTGCAAGCACAACTAGGAGAGTACCTGATCACCATACAAATGGCGACACAAATGCGTCAGAGTTATCAGACGTGTATTGCAGAGCTGTAAGGCAAACCAGCTAGGTACCTCACCAGGCTAACCTGCTGAAAAAGGCAGAGCAACAGAAAAATGCTTGGATTCGGACACCAAGCAAGCAGCATCTGAAAATAAGGCTGGCTTGGACACCATGGAGCCAGGAGAAGTACTCCTCCGATAGGATTAAAGACGAGCCAGAACCTAGAGCAATCCCCACTGTGACCAGTCCTGCTGAAAAGTGTCCGCTGCAAGGGCCTCACAGTTGGAGAACAGCGACAAGTACAATGGGACATGCCAAGACCACAGCAATACAAAGAGGTCGAGAACTCAGAAGAGCTACACAAAGCAACAAGCTTCAAATAGCCACGGACCGACAAGACACCCTATCCCCTCGATTGAGACAATGAACCATGGGGGCAGCAGCCGCCAACAACCATGGCCAGACTGGTCACAAAGCCCCAACAAGGTGCCATGACACCAAACCCCAAAACAATTTAAGAGGAAGGAAGGTGGTGATGTAGCAACCGGTGCAAGGACACTGGGGAACGAACCCAGCGATTGAGAGACGAAAGAGGCTGCCCAGAAGATACCAGAACAGCCTTCAAAGCCAAACCATGCCCAGTGGATAAACCAGCAGAGCAAAGTTCAGGCTGTTGTTCATGCACAGTTGCTCGAGCAACCAAGCAAAGTGAATTTTCTTACATTTCTTTGGCCGCTTTGTTTAGTTAGTTTAAATCTATGACCTCTTTGTTCTTGAAGTTACGGTCTCAGGAATTCTTCCCTTTCAATTTTATCAATGCTCGTTACTATTTTGTACGTAGTGATATCACCTCTTTTTGTCCTCTTATCTTCTAATTTTGGCATATTTAATGCCTCTAACCTATCCTCGTAGCTCTTGCCCTTCAGTTCTGGGAGCCATTTAGATGCATGTCTTTGCACCTTTTCCAGTTTGCTGATGTGCTTCTTAAGATATGGGCACCATACAACCGCTGCATATTCCAGCTTTGGTCTATCAAAAGTCATGAACAATTTCATCAGTATTTTGCCATCCATGTATTTAAAAGCAATTCTGAAGTTAGAAAGTGTAGCATAGGCTCCTCACACAATGTTCTTTATGTGGTCCTCAGGTGACTTTTTTTTTTTATCTAGAACCAACCATAGATCTCTTTCTTTATCAGAATTCTTTAATGATTTCTCACATAATTTATAAGTTGTATGGGGTCTATGTTCTCCTATTCCACATTCCAGAACATAGCATTTATTCACATTAAATTCCATTGGCCAAGTGATCCTCCATACACTTATTTTTTTCCAGGTCTTCTTGAAGGAAATGACAATTATCTAAGTTTCTTATACTGTACTCCCTATTATCTTGGCATCATCAGCAAACATGTTCATATAATTCTGTTTTCCATCTGGTAGATCATTTATGAAGACCATGAACATTTCCAGTGCAAGAACTGAATCCCTGTGGTACTCCACCTGTGACATTTCTCCAGTCCGATACATTGCCTCTGATTACTGCCTTCATTTTTCTGTCGGAAAATTTTTCATCCACATTGGAAGCCTCCCTGTGTCACTCCTGCAATGTTCCAGTTTTCAGAACAACCTATTATGTGCATACTCACCTAGTTGTACTTGTGGGGGTTGAGTTCTGACTCATTAGGCCCCGCCTCTCAACTGATTTCCACCCCCACCCCCCAAACACACTCCCCAGGAAGCAGCCCATAGCAGCTGTCTAACTCCAAGGTACCTATTTACCAGTAGGTGAACAGAGGCATCAGGGTGAAAAACTCTGCCCATTTGTTTCTGCCATTGCCAGGGATCGATCCCTGGACCCTACGACTATGAATCCTGAGTGCTGTCCACTCAGCTATCAGGTGGAACTCTGTCGAAAGCCTTTTTAAGTCCAGATAGATGCAGTGAACCAAACCATCTCTTACCTGTAAAATCTCTGTAGCTCGACCATAGAAACTGAGTAAATTTGTTACACAAGATCATCTAGATCAAAAACCATACAGTGTCTGATATTATATCATTTCTCTCCAGGTACTCGCCTAGTTGTATTCACTTAGTTGTGCTTGCGGGAGATTGAGCTTTGTCTCTTTGGTCCCGCCTCTCAACCGTCAATCAACTGATGTACAGATTCATGAGCCTACTGGGCTCTATCATACATTCATACATTGTAAACTGTGTATGGAGTCAGCCTCCACCACATCACTTCCTAGTGCATTCCATTTGTTAACTACTCTGACACTGAAAAAATTCTTTCTAATGTTTTTGTGGTACTAAGTTTCATTTGGGTACTAAGTTTCCACCTGTGCCCCCTTGTTCGTGTTCCACCCATGCTGAAGAGTTTGTCTTTGTCCACCCTGTACATTCCCCCAAGAATTTTGTAGGTGGTTATCATGTCTCCCCTTACTCTTCTGTTTTCCAGGGACATGAGGTTCAGATCCTTCAGCCTTTCCTTGTAGCTCATACCTCTCAGTTCCAGGACGAGTCTGGTGGCATACCGCTGAATCTTTTCTGACTGTCTTGTGTTTAACTAGGTATGGACTCCAGGCTGGAGTTGCATATT